CAAAATCAGCTAACAACCTGTATCTTATCAAGCTTCATCTGCTAAAATTCTTCCTTTAATTTGCTGTTTACTTCACCATTTTAAACTTTCATTCTTATAAATCAATGTGGATATATTTGCTTTCTGTGCAGGCTTCCAGTAGTCTCTTAATAATCATAATAATCGTTATTACTGATTAAAGTTGCATTATTCATGCCAGATGGAGTGCCCTCCCTGTCAGCCAGAATGAGTTTGTATTTATGTAGTTATAGTACATTTGTGATCTAAATAAACAGATGGTAGAAGGTGACAGCGAATTATGTGCTGGTGATATCAGCAACAATGTTTCCCAAGTATAATTGCTTTAAATGAACATGAATGCAACAAGGAGCTGGTATTTTTAACAAGGTAGTTGGCATTCAGTGTGGTAATTACTAGGCAGCATCATCAATAGCACCAGGAATGCCAAGGAAGGAATGCTGGCTTTGAAAAATTAGTGACACACAGTCTGACTTGACAGGACCATCAGGGTGGGTTTGCTCAGCTCTGTAACATCTTGCAGGTGTGAGCACACTGCCAGCACAGGGATAGTGTTTGTCTTTGGGTGATCCAACCTTAGCTGAGAGACATTTTGCACTTTCTCTGACGCTGTCTCCCATCAAGGCATGTGGCAAGTATTTGATTTAGTGTAATGGAGCAGAGTTAGCAGCAGCAGCTGTTAATACACAATTGAAAGGATTGAACCTGGATCAGGTTCAAAGGGGAAATTCACTTTACAGAATCTCAGCAGTGTTCACTGATGTATAAAAGTTAAATCAAACACAAGGTTGGGCTCCTGTGATCAAAAGTGCGGCGATAAGGACTGTGCAGTCTTCCACAAGCTTTACATTGTGTGCCTCAGCTCATCCCATCAGCTCTGGCTTTGTGAAGGGCTTGCCTGCCCCTCAGGCACTGCCACACCTGGGAGTGTGCCTGGACTTTGGCCATGTCCAGATGGCAGCCATGGAATGGGGTCTCCATTCCCAGCAGCCCAGGCTGTCCGAGCACTCTCTCCAGAGGTGTTGAAGTGCAGCCAGAGGAGAACACTCCAGCTCTTCTCCTTGCTCACCATCCCCTCTCACACAGGTCAGCATTTTGCCATAACATGGACACATGAACTCAACTCCCACTTCAGTCCAAGTGGATTTCAGTCACTAATTCCTAGGTAGTTTATCAAATCTACCATTGCTACATGGTAGGTTTACAGACCTACCACTCTTACAGCTATATTTTACAGTGAAAGCGCCTACAGCTCTTTTTCTTCAGGGACTAAAACTATCAGCATGTGGAAAGATGATGCAGAGCACCACATCCAAGGTCTGAAGGAACATGAGGTTCCTTCTGAAGCACAACCACAGGCAACTAAAGAACCAGCAGCCAGAAAACAGAAGGTCCTGTGAGCTTTGCTGTCACTGGGATTAAGTGGTTGCACACTTAATTTCCCTTACTATAATATTGGACATGAAGACCATGTAAGTTGGTGGGGAAGAGGGGTGGCTTCTAACCAAAGGCATTGAGTGGAATGTCACAGCCATCTCTTCTCCTGTGGAGAAATCAGCAGGTCACATAGGCTGTGGAAGGCAGTAGTGACAGCACTGAGTGATGAGTGATGGCATTGTTCCTCAGTCCTCCAGATTTGCTGATATTTCTTTTTGTTTTAAAATGTCCCAGTCATTATGCATAGCAAAAAGGTGTTTAGGGTATAAAGCATTTAGATAAGTATTTCATGTAAGTTTGATACCAGGTCTGGTTATTTAGCTGGGCTTTTTTTACAGGCACTGTTTCAACTTTGCTAAAGTATTAAGTATAAAGTATAAAAAGTATAAAAAGTATAAAAAGTATGAAAAGACAAGATGGACTCTTGTCTTACACAGTTGCTGGATGTTGAAGGAATGAAAGGAACCCACATTTCCAATCTGTCTCTTTCTGTCTGTCCTGCAGGTGGTCGTTGCCACAAGTCCTGCACAGGACGGTGCTGGGGACCAACAGAGAATCACTGCCAGACCTGTAAGTGTGTAAGAGTGAGAAACAAAGGACTGGAAAACAATGTAGCAGAGATCCTATTTTTGTTTCTTTCACTTGTAATAAATTCTGGGTTCAACAGGACTCTAAAACATACAATGGGGTTTTTCTTCCTTATGTTTTTACCAATAGATGATCTGCTTTTTTCCCCCACCCATGTGAATGATACTTTTCTTTCCTCCTTTATGCTTTCTAAAACTGCTTATGCTAACTTGAATTTTCTTTTCACTACTTGGTGGCAACATGGAGCATGGCTCTTGAGAATATTGATGGTTATTTTGGAATACACTGGAATGAATACTGCAGGAATACAGAAAAAAACTATAAGGAAGATTTGGAGATCTTTAATGTCCACCTGACACTGAAAAGCTCCTGATAACAAAATACTCTGTTAATTTGAGTGGTAGCCTGGGAATATCACTTATCTTGCAGAACTGTTCTCTTTATAATAACTTCAGAATGTATTTGAGTTGTACTGAAAGAGAGGATAATAGTTTTTGTGAAGGAAGTAGTGATGGGTTACTCACAACGTTTGTCTGTCCCCTTGAATTGAGAGAGCATTAAAATGAGTTTCTTCCTTGTGTGCTTTAAACTCCTTCACACAGGCACTAAAGAGCTAGAAGTAAAGTCACAATATTAGCAGATAGTAAAAGAGGAGAAAATTGAGAGCTGTCTTTTTCTACAAATTTTTTTTTTTCTTTTTCATTTTTCCTGCTTTCAGGAGGGTGAGAACCAGCTGCTTTTACTGGAATCACTCTTCCTGGGAAATGAAGTGGCTGCTGGGTGCTCCCCCAGAGAACACCTCCAGCTTGTGCTTGTTTCCTTGGCTGAGCTATAAATGGGAGGAAGGACTGTGACAAATGAGGCACTCCCAGATGAGCCTCCCAACTGAGCTCTGAGCTGAGTCAGCCCAGGGTCACCTGCCTCTTTCCTGGGACTTGGTGGGAACAGTGCAGCGATGCTGCTGCTGCTGTTTTGTTTGTTTGGGGTTTTTTACTACTTGGAGTGAGAGGACAGAACTGGGAGACAGCTTGATGTGGATGTCTCATGTGTCTGAGCAGGAAATCCAAGCTGCCTGTGACCCAGGGGACAGAGCCACATACCTGCAGTGGCTCTGCCACCCTGCCAGGAGCTGCTTTCCCTTTAGGAGCACCAGCTGATTCTACTGGAGAAGCTGCTCACAATGACAGCTCTGCTAAAGTTCACCTGTTCTTGTGTTGCTGCTTCATATTTTCATATCCTTTGTCTGCAGGGATGGTTAAAACCCCTCAGGACATATTGTAGGACTAAGATACAGTGATGCAGAGCAGATTCTGCTTTGTCTGAATTAAGTCAGGACATCTCCTTCCTTTGCTGGCAGTCTTTATGAAGGCACCAAGGAAGTCAGTGCTCCTTACCAGGAAAAGAAGTAGATTCTGGGTTGTGTGTTTAAGTAGATAATGGAAAGGGACTTAAACCCTAGGCAACAGAATTATTTTATGTCATTGCTATTAATTAATGATTTTTTTTTCTCTGTCCTAATGAGAAGCTTGTTTGTCTATTAAAACTTGTAACTTTGTAAGAAGCTGCATAATCCATCCAAACATGGATTTATTCAGGCTTTCTGTGGTTAGCTTATCCAGGAAGAGTTTAAAATCCTGGCATTTTTGTTCCACAAAGAGCCCATGATGCTGGATCAGGCTGTGTCTCCAGCCTCATGTCAAGTCCAGCTGTGTACCTGCACAAGTCTGTGTGGCAGGAGCAGCTCCCATGCTCCCAGCCTCCACAAAGCACTGCTCTCAGACAAGGGAGCTGCTTTGCTGGGTTCATGGAGTAACAGCAGGGAGAGAAAAGCTGCTCTGCAGTGCTGTGAGGGCAGGGGCTCAGCAGGGCTGCAGGGAAGGCTGGATTCAGGAGTGACAGCTCTCTCCCTTCACAGTGCCTGTCCTGGCAAATCCAAACAGCAGGGACAGGCTAAGGCACAACCACAGAGTTAAGATAATAAACTAGGAAAAGCCATAACTCATCCAAGGGAGATACACAGATCACACTCTTCCACTTGAGCAGCCACTCCACATCCTCTTACCTTCAAGCCCACTCTGCAGCCTCTGATGGTCAGGGACAGGAACTCATTTTACATCACAGTCTTCCCCTTTGCCTCCCTGACCTTGCTGCACCTTGGACAAGCAGCAGGATTGAAGGAAAAGGCTGGTAAAGGGTATGTCTTCTTTGGGTTTTCACACAATGTGTTTCCTGCAAAGAGGGACAATTTGAGTAGGGACTCAAAACTTAAAAATGCAATTTGGACTGTGCTTTTGGTGCCTTCATGTCTGACTTTAAAAGACATGCCTGGCTCTTGGGCTGGCAGATGTTGTTGTTAGATACAAGCTGGAGACAGGATGAGTGATGGTGTGCACGTTGTGCCAACCTTTACCCCATAACCTTGGGGATGCACGTCTTTCCAACACGTGTAGGAAAATACTCCAGCAGTGCTACATCTAATGCCAAACCATTTTCATCCTAGAAACAATTCAGAGCTGCTTTTTGATAATTTCTTTTTTTTTTTTTTTTTTTATTGAGGATTGAAACAAAATATTTTAATGAGCCCTCCTCCCAAGATAAGATTTAAATTATTTTCCTGGGAAAGGATAAAAAAAATGAAAGATCTTAATCCATGTCTTTCATTTCAAATTACATATGGAAAAAAAACCAAATCCCTTTCTTTTTTTCATGAATATCATCTACCTAGCTGCTTCTTATGTTGCCTTCCAGCAATGTCTTTGTTGCTAACTCTGTCTGAAACACCACCTGCATCTAACTCTAACATCTCTGTAAATGTGACAAGAAAATTCATGTATTTAAGAAGACAATTAATAGGAAATTAAAGCCAAGTTGTTCTGTTAGGAGGTAGAGAAGATAAAATTCCAGGGTACTGTTTTACACAGTTAGCAATCCTTTTTACTTTTATAATTAAAATATTAGTAGATGTTAATAGGAAGAATTTGAAATTGAGATGATATAACTTGTTTCAGTGTCAGGAAAGGCGAATGTGAAAATATTTTTAAAAAGACTGTTTTTCAAATTGTATTGGGCACACACTGAATAGAATATAAACCACTTTAAATAATAATAAAAAATGCTTTTGGATTTTTTTGATTTTGCACTTACCAAATTTTAAAATCTAGGGTTAGGTTGTTAAAATTTTTGCATTTCATGTCTGTTAAGAGTTTCATGTGGAAATTGAAACTTTTACAATTCAATACATTATTAAAGTGACAGATTATGCACTTTTTCCAAGAGGAATGTAACTGTAAAGACAACAACCTAAATTAGAATATAGACCCAACTAAGGGAATGCAAAAAGACAAATATAACCTGTAAATCAAAGCTGAAACATGAAACATTTAGCAAATGTCAAGTGCTCCACGACTCTGTGTGTGTACAGGAGTGTGGTCAGAGCACAATTGTATTTATACTGTCCTTGTGCTGAGGAGAAGGTGCCAAATTAGAGCAGCAAAAGGCGAGCAGGAGCCTGGTGGGGAACACAGAAAGAGCTGAAGCAGCAGCTGGGATCAATCAGGAAAGCCCAGAGTTTCTGCTTGGAGCCAGCATCTTTAATTAAAACCCTTGTATCGCTCTAATAACTTTGCATGTTTGTAACACTTAACATTGATTTCAGCTCCTTCCCATTTTTGCCTTCATGGATTGATAGTGTCCTGATGCAATTAAAGATGAGGGGGAAATATAAAGGAGGCTGATAATTTGCACATGTACACGAGGTGGTCATTTCATCCCATCCCTGACACAGTTTATTGCTGTGAAATCCTGGTAGAAGTTGACAGCCTCACCCAGAAATCCATCTCAATGTACAGCACATTTTTCAGGACTTTGGTTTAACCCTCCAAATTCTTGGGATCACACACATGAGCTGTAGGAATCCAGGCAGGTAGTGTTGACCCTCAAAAGGTCTGCTTACAAACTTGGGGTCTCAGCTGGGATTAGTGAGGCTCTCCTCACGGTTGTATTGGGTGAAGATATGAGTACCAGACACCTGAAATGCCATATACTTTGACATTTTGAAAAATATTTATAATTCACTCTTTCAGATAGGTCTCGAGTTACAGCTATAAAAACAATTGATTGTATTTGGAGGAAAGTGTTTGGGGAAAAAAGCTTGTTATCTTTTCAAACCAGTGCAGCTACGTGAATTTTCTGTGGGGTTACCCCTGACAATGATTGCAGGAAGCTGAACTGGTGAGTGATGTTTATTGGCATCTGAGCAATCAGATTGTTTCAGGCTTTCAGACAATACACAGAACTGCCTTGTGTTTGCTTTGTCTTGGGGAAAAACCTTCCTTTTAAAGTGTCTTAAAAAGAGTCCTTAAGATTCAGAGCCCACTAAGCTCATTAATGGCTTGGTATGATGCCACTGAAGACACTTGACAGGTTCTCCACAGACCTGGACCTTCAGCAGCAGCTGTAATGTAAATATTGCATACAGTGAAGCAGGAGATAGATATCATATGTTCTGGCCTCTTCCTAGAACAGCATGTTGGCATTGTTTGTTTTCCCTGAAAAATAAATAGCTGGGGAAGAACAGCGACAAACCTTTGCTGTAATTATTGATTTTGCTTCAGGAAAACTCACAGTGTTTCCTATCCTGAGCAGCGTGGTAGAGACCCTCCTTGAGCTGGTGTCTAAACAGAAGCAAAACATGCTTTTTGAAGGCATCCAGTTCAATCATTGTGCTGAGGAGAGGATTGTTTTCCTCCAGATCAGCTCTGGTGTGAATGGCCCAAGCTGAAACCCAAAACCTTGGTGTTCCCAGCACCATGAGTGGCTCCATGGGCAGGGTGGACATTGTGGCCCACACCCAACAGCAGCTGGTTCTGTGATAAATAAACCAGAGGTGAATTAGATGGCTGGCACTGATTATCCACACCAAAACTTGCCAGGTTTAAGCAAAATGTCCCATGGCAAGGAAGGGATTTACCAGTGGGCTCCTTGCATGGCCTCGAGGCACAGGGGGAGCCCAGGGCAAGTCCTGAGCTGGTGGAAAACAAAGCACTAGGGATGGTATTTGTTCATTTTCATGAGCCAAGACTGTCACCACAGTGTGCTGGGGGCAGGCAGCCACAGGTGCCATTGTTTCACATCTGTCTTAGTGTTTATCAATACTGTCACTTAAATAAACAAATCTTTCTAATGTGCTTCTCAGGCAGTGTTGACAGTAAGTGCCTTCACAGAATTTCCCAAATTTCTCAAATTAGATTGCACAAGCCACAAAAGCCTTTTCTTTCTCTCTGGGGGCTTTCCTCTGGTATCAGCAAGATGAAATTGCTCTAAAAGTGCATTGTTTTATTCCGTAGATTACAAACAATCACTTCTCTTTAGTTATTTACATTTTTATGTCCTAAATAAATATTGTATGTAGAAAGAATCTTCAGCATTACCTTACGTATTTCTGGCAAGTAGTGAAGGGATTTTGGATCAGAATGTACTTATAAAAGTGTTACCAATACTTTAAAATAGTAGAATTGAGCTGAAAGCTGGATGGAATTTTGTTTTCTCTTGCTTCCTGAAGAGTATTTTTCACAGAGAAGAAATAAATGCTTAAAAAAAAAAAAAAAATAGGTGTTGAAGGTTATTTTCAGAAGTGTATCATCCCAGCTTTTATCAAAAGACAGCTGACAGCACAGTAGGCAGTGGGGTTGGTATAGTTTGGATACTACTAATTTCTTTTTCCATAAAATGAAGATTGAGGTTACATCTGAGTGAGGGAGGGGAGGCAGATGCTCCATTGGTTGACGGCTCCTTGCACAAGGTTAAGCCCCCAGAGGTGTGGAACCACAATGCAGCTGGTAGATCTAGTTGCTTCAATCTGTAAATGAAGGCAGGATTGTGTGATTTAGAAACAGCAAGTGGTGTTTCCAAATGGTTTCCAAGGCTGCTGTCTGTTCTGTTCCCTTTTGTCCAATGGATTGCCATCAGGGGCAGCATTTGGCTGTGACACTGGTGGTCTCACTCTGAATTTCAGCCATTTACTCCGTGTTGCTGTTCTTCATGGGGAAAACTCACATGCAACTGGTGGGGTCTTCTGTTATTTTTGGGGTGGGGAGGTAGAGAGGGTGTCACATCCTGTTTAAAAAACCTAATGATTTGAAAGTAACATTCCTCATGGATGTTCAGGGGTAAGAGGGCACCCTAAAAATTCCTTCTTCGTGGTCCTTGAGCATCATATGTGCTCCTAAAGAGGGGATTGTGCAGGCATTCTGGATACAGGTATTGTGCAGATGTCCTGGATCCAGGTGTTGTGCAGATATCCTGAGTACAGGTTCTGTGCAGAAGATCTGGATACAGTTGTCATGTCAATGTTCTGGATCCAGGTGTCCTGAAGATTTTCTGGATCCAGGAGTCCTGCAGATGTTCTGGACCCAGGTGCCCTGCAGGTGCTTTGGATCCAGGTGTCCTGCAGAAGATCTGGATCCAGGTGTCCTGCAGGCATTCTGTACCCAGGTGTCCTGCAGGCATTCTGGATCCAGATGTCCTGCAGATGTTCTGGATCCAGGTGTCCTGCAGATGTTCTGGCTCCAGGTGTCCTGCAGAAGATCTGGACCCAGGTGTCCTGCAGAAGATCTGGACCCAGGTGTCCTGCAGGTGTTCTGGACCCAGGTGTCCTGCAGATGTTCTGGACCCAGGTGTCCTGCAGATGTTCTGGACCCAGGTGTCCTGCAGATGTTCTGGACCCAGGTGTCCTGCAGATGATCTGGACCCAGGTGTCCTGCAGATGTTCTGGCTCCGTCAGCGCCGTCCCCTCGCTTGCTGGAGTTTTTTGCATCAGGCTGTGGGCGCTTTGCTCGGGGAGCAGTTGGAGAGCTCGGTGGCCAGCGCTGTGTGTGACATGTCCCTTTTCCTGCCCCGTGCAGTGACAAAGACTGTGTGTGCAGAGCAGTGTGACGGACGCTGCTACGGGCCCTACGTCAGCGACTGCTGCCACCGCGAGTGCGCCGGCGGCTGCTACGGACCCAAGGACACCGACTGCTTTGTACGTCTCACTTTTGCTTTTTATTCTTCCCACCAGTCACTCTGCTGATTCTTAATGCTTTAACCCATGAAATTCACAGTTTTGTCCCTCCTGATGTACTGCATGCACACTCACAGATACAGGATGCAAATTTTTAGCATTTATTTTTCATGTTGTATTAACGTCATTTATCTACTTAATATTACCCATTAACACATCCATGAGATTTGTAAATACAGATTAGGAACCATTAATATGCTTTTCTCTGTGACTTTTATATTTTTCTTTTCCACAATTAGTTTATAGAGGTGACAGCAAATTTTTAGAAGTATTTGTCATTATATTTGAACATGGTTTTTATTGTTGCTCTGTGTGCTTTTCATATAAAAGTCAAGAATACTATTTAGCTTGTCTCTGCAAACTGTTCCCTGTTTCTGCCAGACTTAATTTGAATTCAGCTTTTTTACTGGACATGCTTCTTTGTGGAGAAGGAAGGAAGGTGACTCCCAAAATGCTTTCCCTCAAATGCATGTTACTACATGTGTGCTTCAGATGGAAAGAAGAAATGGCTTTTTCTTTAAATAAACAGGCAATCTAAACATCCAGGCCTTTAGAAAACCTGTCTTGTTTCTAATCCATTACTTCTAAGAGTTTTAGCAGCTTTAGAACCCAAAACTAAGCTCAAAAGATGCGTAGCTCATCACCCTGGGTCAATGAGACAAGTTTTGCTAATGGTTTCAGGGGAAGCAAACCTAGCTCTAAGGAAGCCTAGAATTAGAACCAAACATAGAGAGGTAGATTTTCAAAGGTACCCACATGTTTGAAGAGAGAAATACTTGTGAAGCTGACTGCCAGGTGAGGTTGAGAGGAGGGTATGGAAAATTGCATATATTTTGAAACTGTGGGCAAAAGAGTCATAATGAACTGGCAAAAATTAATTTTTGGCTGGCCCTAACTCTTTGATACTGATAGGTTTTGTGCTTCAAAACCACATCTGAATGTGTTGTTTGGCTGCTGATGAAATCTAATGGTTAGGATATGATATAGACAGGATTTACTAAAGCTGTTCTTTGTGGCTTCCTAAAAGTAGATGCTCAGCACATATGGTATGGGTGATCCAACAGTGCCTGGAAGTTCTCTGTTGGCTTTGAACATGAGAGACAGGAAAATGCCAGTCTTTCTTGTGTCATGTACAGTATTAAAAGGTAAAAGGAAGAGGAGAATTGCAGTCATTGCTCCCAAATGAGCATTGGGGAGCATCCTCAGAGCTGATGTGTTCTCAAAGGTTAAGGACTGTTAAAAGGTAAAACTTTACCAAAGGAAGGCCTGGTAAAATCATGGCTCAGGCTTGTTACTTTGGCTAAGTAGAAAAGGACTGTGGGAAAGAGACTCAGCTCAATTAGGGGTAGAAAAATAAGTTATATAACTATTGTGTGTTCATTTATGGTGGTTGGTTGAATTATGTTTGTTATGATTTTAAACTATTTAACTGATAAAGGCCTAACTGCTTACAAATGCCTGTTTTTTGCAATAAAGCAGCTTTCCTTTGCACCTGCCTGGGGACTCTGCATCACTCCAGACCCTCACCCACAAAGGACAAGTTATTGGCAGCTTAAGTTGTGTAATGCTGCAGCCTGAAAGTTAGACTTCCTGAATGGTGGCAGCTGTGAAAATATGCATGCTAAAAATCAACTGGAAGGTTTTTCTGGTACAGAAAGCAGAGAAGCACCCAGGGTTTGTTCTCATTCCCTTCTGGCCCCAGAGCAATGTAAAAGAAATTCAGCAGGGGTCTGGCAATTTTCAGGACTAGTCATTACTTGCTTAGACACAGTGGGTGAAAAGTGTAACCCTTTAGGCTAGAGACAACTGTGCTTAGCTTTCAGCTGAGACACAGAACTTTGTTGTTTTTTTTTTCCTTGTGTATTTCCCTGTGCTTTTATTCACAAATTAGCAGCATTTAGCACAAAATGCTAGAAATTTGCATATATTATCAAAGCAATTACAAATGTATATAAAACATTTCAGTCATAAATTTGAAGCTCCCAGATCTCCTAGACTAATTTTTCCTGAGAATTGCCGTGTCTCCAAGGAGTATGGGTGTGCTTTATTTGCTAAACTGTTATCAAAGAATTGTCATGTACATGATGGAGCACCTTTTAAGTCAACATGTAAGAAATGGGTTGAGGAAACAAACTAAATTAGTATTTATTAATAAGCAAAAGTACAGCTTATAAAGCATTACAAATCCTTTAGAGCATTATGGCATCTTGCAACAGCATCCTGTTCTAAATACGGTTTTAATATCTGTAGATAAAATTCATCCATCCTCCTCCATCTGCTGCCATCCAGTCATTTGCATATTCAGTTCTAAAAGCAAGACAGTAATCATCATCTGACATAAATGCAAGCAAACATGCTAAAACAAAGTTTTACTGATGTTTTTATCTCATATTCAAACTGGGTCTAGAACTTGAAATGCATAGGAGGGCCTGGTTGACTTCCTAGTGGAACCAGAAAAGTGACACAGCACTATTCCTCAGGTGGACTTGCCATCCAGCTCTGAGTAAAGTGTTTATCTTTCTAAGGGGGAGAAAAAATCTGTTTCCATGAAAAAAATTGGCAGGTTTTATAACAGGTATTTTAAAGGACCAGGAAAGACAGGATCAGCGGTTTTGCTTAGCACATGCTCCATGTAGAACAGTGCTGTCATCATGGATCTCTCTGCTTGTTCCTTTCAGCAGCAGATTTTGTCCTTGGATACATCATTAGCCTCTCCTTTCTGAAATCTTCTGGCATGACAGGTCCCAGGGTCCTGCTGGTCCTGATCCAAATGGAGACAAGGACTGGGAGTAAAATCAGTAGGAGAGAGGAATCTTGTTCTCTTTTCTCTCAGTCCCAGCCCAGGAGGCAAGGGGACAGAACATGTGCAGTATTGTTACACTTGCTGACTCTTTAAAGATGCAAAACCAGCTGTATTTTAACAACCTGGAGAAAGACCAGAAGGATTCACTCCTAGACTAGCACTTCTAAAGCAGCCTGGATTACAGGTTAGTGGGGAGGCAATACCCAGTAGCAGTGGCTGCTTAAACTTTTAGAGAGGTCCAAGCCAGGCTGCAGCTTTCATATTCTTACAAACCTTTCATTCATGGTACACTCAGTGAAAATTACTCCAACACTTCTCTCATAATCTGTGGTTAAAACCTTAGACATGATGTGTGCTGATAAGGAGCATCAAAATCGGTGGGGCTTTCTACTCCTAATTACCAGCCTTGCACGGTCAATTGTTTTCCCTGCATCCCATTACTTTTGTTATCCACACACTCCCTGTCCTCTGTCAGCTGTGCAAGAAAGAGCCTGAATGCTAAGTGGAACAAAGTCTTATTTTCCTCTCTCAGTATGTGAAGCAACTGACCTTGTTAAACTTGCCAGTAAGGGAAAGGGCCCCCTCCTGTGCTAGCTCAAAAGAAGTTCTTATCCCTCTTGCCTCCTAATTGGGAATTACAGTTTTCAGCCGGATGATGCATTCATGCTGTAAGAAATCTAAAGGGTTGGACCTCTGAAAAAGCCATTAGCATTTGCTTAAAGGATGATAAATAGCTGCTCCCTCTTGGCAGTTTTAGAATGTCCTATCAAGTCGAGAACTGGTTGAATGTGAGTAGTTATGAAACAAATTAAGGTCTTGTTTTGGTTTTGTAGGAAGTGGTGTAACAGGCAACTGTTGCCAATTAAGGGGGCTCACCAAACTCCCTAATTTGAAAAGTCACATATTTGCCAAGATCCTAGCAAAAATCCTAGTAGCCAGAATGAATGTTAGAGAGTTCTGTATCACATCCCTCACTGTCACAGCAAGTCTGAACAATCAAGGCCATCTTTTACACCAAAAAAAAAAAAAACCCCAACCAAACCGAACCCTAAAGCAGCGGTATGATTTAATTCAGCACTTTTTGTCTCCCTCCTTTTGCAGGCCTGTATGAATTTCAATGACAGTGGTGCCTGTGTGACACAGTGCCCCCAGACCTTCGTGTACAACCCCACCACCTTCCAGCTGGAGCACAACCACAACGCCAAGTACACCTATGGGGCTTTCTGCGTCAAGAAGTGCCCGCGTAAGTGCTGCCTGATCTGCCCTGCTAGCTGCCTTCTCCTGCAGGGATGGGAAGCTGGAGCTGCATTTCAGGAGCCTTAAAAACAGTGAGAGAATGAGAACAGTGAGAGAATGGAGCACAATCACTCCACTTGTGCTTGCAGCCTGTAATAACTAAGTCAGATGATAACTACAGGCAGTGAATTCCGTGCTCCCGAGGATCCTAGAGTGATTTACCTAAAGAAAGATGATTTCTGTTTTCGTGGTCAGCTTGTTACATTCATGCTTCAGATCAGTGTTTTAAAATCCCAAAATAGTGGAAATAAATAGTTAAAATAGTGGGATTGTAAAAGGGTATGAATTTCTGTTTCAGAAAAATTACATTCTGCCATCAGCACCTGGAACCAAATGCATTCATGATATTGATTTGACAGAAAGTTACCCTGAGCAGTTCTGTCCCAATGAGGAATAAACTTCTAATACTGACAGGAATGCAGCCTTAAAAACCCAGAGTAAAATTAGAGGGGAGGAGGGAGTTAAAAAAAAGAGGAATCCCATGCATGTAAAACACACATGTTTCTAAGATACCAGCCAGATGATGACAAGTAACAGAAAACAGTTACAGGGTCATCACTTTCTTTGTGAAAAAGTCTTTTAAATCTGCTGGTTTAATTGGGAAGAATAATAAAGGAGATAGTATTCTTGCTCTCCCTTTCATTCCGTGAAGGTTTACAGTTGTCCGTTAATTATTTTATCCGTAAATTACCAAATTATCCCAATGTAAGAAGGATGGGTGATCTATATTAAATGGATCAATAATAAATTCACAAATCAATAAAATCAATAAAATCATAAATCAATCCAATCCAAAATCCCAGATTGGAGTCTCTGTGGAGGACTCACAGCAGGCAGTGACCACCTTGTTCTGCTTGTAATACTGGGGGTCTGTTAAAGCCAGATTGGTTTGTTAAGAACCTGATATCATGCACTGTAAGGGATATAATTCTTTGCCCAAATACTTCATTGAACACTTACCTTTTTTTTTTTTTCCTTTCTTATGAGTATTAAACTTTTAGTTAGGTAGGATCAGTCTATGCTCTCTTTGGCTGTTGTTTTACAGGGAAAAAAACTGGAATACTTGTCATTGTCCTGTGCACTGTTTTATACCAGATGTATATTGTTGCATGAAAAAGACAGGACAGACCATCTTGCTGTATTTCTCTCCAATCACTGCAGCTTATTTTTTCCCTACAAATAATAATAAAGCCAAATTGAGGGTGAAAGGGGGATCATGACAATTCATGGATTTTTATAAGTCCCTGATAATGTGCCTATTTTGCTTATACACTTCTGAAAACACAGAACTTTGAATGTTAATATCATTGGGAAAGTGCCAAGGCAACGACAGGTATTGACACACAGAGCTGAAAAACATGTGCCAGCTTTTATTCACTTTATTTATATCACAATATTTCCTTTTTCCTTTCAGACAACTTTGTGGTGGATTCCAGCTCTTGTGTCCGGGCATGTCCCAGCTCCAAGATGGAAGTTGAAGAAAATGGTATTAAGATGTGCAAGCCCTGCACTGACATTTGTCCTAAAGGTAGGCAGTGGTTCAGTATAAATTTTCTTGGAAGTAGTCTACACAGGGTGTTATTTTGGCATGAATAGCCCTGCTGTAGAATATGAATAGCCTTTGAATACCCACAAAACTTTGAGCTATGTAGGTTGTGTGTCAAGCACATAGAGTAGAGTGAAAATTTATTAAGTTGTAATGGTAATATAACCAAACCAATTATTTTTTATTAGATACAAATGAAGGGGATTTCTCTGTTGGTCTTAGAGAAATCTGAAAGAATTCTTCATTGTGTTATTTTAATGACAAGTGTTTCCTGGAGGTGTTTTAGCATTGTCCTTTTGTCATTCCAAAGGTGGCCATACAAAAACCCCCTGACTTCAATGTCTGTGATGTCTCATATTTGTCAATACAGCATTAAGCTTCCATTTCCTTCCTCTGTCTCTGCTTTCCCAGAATCTTCTACCTCCTTTCTCAGTGTCTCACACACAACTGGTGATGGTTCTGGTGAGAGGACTGGAATCTGTAGGTTACTTTGCTGTTCTAGACTCCAGCAAGGAGACTTTCTGCTCCGTGCTTGAAGGTCTGTGGAGCAAAGCATCATAAATTTTCCTCTGTGGGCCTATGCCACTTTTCACACTAATGGAAGATTTCACATTAATCTGGCTTTATTGAGTAAATAATTGTTGTTGTTGCATAGACAGTTTTGTGCACGAAAACACACGTATAGAGTCCCTTACTTTCTCAGGAGGAAAGCTAACACATGTTTGTAAAAGCTTCAGCTGGTAGCTGCCATTAGAGGAGCTCAATTAGGAAGACAGAATTCATTATATGGTTGAAATCATGAGGGATTTGTTCCTGGATGCATCCTGTGTCCCAGGAAATGCAGCTAAATTACACAGGCCACAGAGAGAAGTTCTCTCACTTCTCCAGGCACCAATAACTTGCTGATTGAGCTGATAAATAAAAAGTTATTTATGCAGCCTTTTAACAGGCCTCATGGCATGGATGGTTAAGTTCCTAAATCCACCAGAGAAGGGGACCTCTGGAGCAGCAGTGTTAGGGCCCCTCAGTTTCTCCCCAAGAAATGGCATGGCTGGGCTGAGTGGGGTTTTGTGTGGTTGATACTTGCCTTTATATCCCATGTGAAATACCAGTGTGCCAGGGCTCTGTGGCAGGTGCTGCAGCTCAGTGTTTGTTTTAAATTGGCACGTGCCTCTGTGGGAATATGGGTCAAGGATGCTGTTTTAACACCTCTCTGCTGAATGAGATGAAGAGTCCTGTCTGTAAAGTCAGCATGTTCTGATTCAGTAATTGTTTTCCCTAGTTCTTTACATAAGCTCCTTGTTTTGGCAGCATGTGATGGCATTGGGACAGGGAGTTTGGTGTCAGCTCAGACAGTGGATTCCAGCAACATTGACAAGTTTGTAAACTGTACCAAGATCAATGGCAACCTCATCTTCCTTGTCACTGGGATTCATGGGTAAGTGACAAAATGTTAAGATGTTATGGCACAGTGCCAGCTGAAACCAATTGCATCCACCTCTTAATGATGGCAGCAGGCTTCCTTTATGCAATAGCAGATCCAGGATAAATTAGTTTTCTGCCATCCATTGTGAAGAAAACTGCCTTGATCCTTAAGATTCAATCTCTAGGAAAAGAAAGGATGGATTAATTGTTTGCACTAAAAAGAGAAAACACAACTATGATTCTCTGGTTACTTTATGAGGTCCTCAACACTGGCTTATGATAGAAGCTGATTAGAGAATAGAAGGCAGAAAAGGAAGTTGCCTTCCATGAGTTTGTTTAAATTTCTTTATGGCCAGCAGAATAATATGCAGAATATGCAGAGAGACAGCCTCTCTCAGCACAACTTGTCATAGTCTGGGTGGCTGTCAGTACACAAACATGTACAAGAGCTGCCCTCTTGTCAATCAGTTTTGAAGAATCTATTTAAGTTTCAGTTGCAGAGGCACACAGAATTCACTGGTGTATAAATCCAGTATTTTGGTTTAAAGTTTGCTCATTGTAATAGGTCCAGAAAAACCTCAAAGTGCCACAAGTCACATGGATCTGCTCTGCCAAACAACCCACTGAGAGGCTGGATGGAAACCTGTTAAATATCACAGGAAAGGAAAAAGCCAAGTAAATGCAAGAGAATCAGCTAGAGCCCATGAGAAATTTTGTGTGGATTAATCTGGTGCATTACATGAAATTTAATTTCAAGTTTAAGAACTGCTTTTGAGGGAAAAAATATATTAGCTCATTAAAAAATGTGTCTACATTAAAAGAACCAAACCCAACCTTGAATAAAATTGTACTTGTCTGAAAAATATCTAAATTTGGACTATAAGCAGGAAGTTAAAATATTCTGTTCTATTTTACAGAAGAGCAGGACATGTAATGTTGAAACTCTGTAGCATTTTGTCTCTCATTCTTGATGAAGAAAACTCACTTAAGCAAGTGTTTGAGGTTTGAGGGCACTGAATTCTGCAACCCTAAAGTTTGCTACAGCATGAATTATATTGGTATAGGTTAAAAGAAGAGAAGATTTGAGTATGAAGGAAAATATCTAGATTTCTGGAACAGCTTTTTTATTTAAAGTTTCAATGACATTTTGCAAACCAGCAATATGAAAGGGAAATTTAAAAAATGACATTGACTCCACAAGTAGTTTTTTATATAAATGGACAGTACAGAGAAACAAAAATCCTACTTATTTCCTCTCCAACTTTTACTTAATTTTTTGTCACAAAATCATTTATTCATGGTGAACTGTAAATTTTAGAGTATGAATTTTTAATGTTTTAGATTGTAGGGACTTAAAGTCTGGTTCTCTGGGGAATTGGAAGACTTTGGTGGTGGCAGAGAATAATTTTGGTGAAAGATGCAGAGGATATTTTTTGTTGTTGTTTTTTCCATTGGAAACTCTGCTGTTGCAATTGATCCTGTCCTAGTTTTTGATCCTGTGGTTCTATAGCCTATTTCTTTCCTGAGCACATTAACTTCAAGTCTTTTTGAATTTGTTATAATTTATGCAAATATATATATATATATATATGCAATTATGAATGTTTTTATACACAACTATTTAAAGTAATTAAGATATACACTCTACACTACAGTTTTATATGTTGATAAAACATCAGACATTTGGCTGTTTAAGGGGTTTAAGTGCATATCTGCATCTTTAAAGCTATTTTACCTTCAGAATTTAGAGATGAAATTCAGCTGCCTCACGTTTATTGCAGGCAAGGGTTTTCCTTTTTTGATGGCAATGCACTTTGAAAGCAAAGTGCTGTGTTTCAGTTAGGTAGTCAAAACTTATTATTTAGTTTTCTGAGAGCCCCACATTGTTAAAATAATGTGTTTGATGCCTCTGTGGTCCACTGGGCTTTTTTGTTAATGTTCTGGAACATTAACAAATATTAACAGTTCTGAGAATCACATGTCCTGGAAAGCAGAAGGAGGAGAGGAGGAAACACGTGCTCCATATTTATTGGTGACGTTCCCTACTCTCAGAAAACACACAAAAATACCATAACATGCCATTGCAGAGTAATCTTTGTTTGGTGTAAGCTTCTGGTTGACTTTTTAAATGCATTTATTAAATGATGGCACTCTCAAAATCAAGGTCAGCTCCATCTTTTCACACTGTGGTATATCTAAGTTCAAGATTTTAAGTTTTGGAGGTTGTTTCATTTCTCGTGGACAAACTTGCTTGGCTAGGATCCGTGCTTTTAGAGGTTTCTTGTTCAACATCTTCTCAAAAGTGTGCCCTTTAAATGTCACATGTGAGGAGCTGCTGGCCTGCTCTTGGCTTTGTGTTGCTTATAGCTGGTCACTCCTTTCAGGAGCAGCTTTGTTAGTCCTGGCATGCAGTATCACAGCTCTGCCATTCCTGGAAAAAAAACCTGGAAATTCATCTTTCCTTTAGGAAGGTCACTTCTAGTGAACTAGTAAACTCTAGTTGTTTAGAATTCCTTAATTTTCCATAGCATAAATATTTGTTAAAACATGAATGAGTTGAACCTTTATGATCCTTCAAGATGATGAGGGAGAAGTTAGACATGGATCTGCAGGAACAGCAGGCTGAAGAAGCTTGGTGCATACCCTCATAAAAGCAAAGTGTTGAGCACCTTAATGCTTTTTTTCCTACATGGTATGGCTTTGAGAACCTGATCTTTTTTTTGTTTAAAGTGTCACATGATGTGATTTTAATCTTTCAGAGACCCATATCACACGATCGCTGCCATCAATCCAGAGAAATTAAATATCTTCCAAACAGTGAGAGAGATAACAGGTAACACACTTCTGATCTCCTGTAATCTGCAGTAATTAATGAATTCATTCTCACTTTCCTTTTATAGTTGTCATATGTTGGGTTTTCTGAAGAACACAAGGCACTTGTTTGCATTAAGCGCATCACTCTGTAATTTTTATATAAGTTTAATACAGAAAACTTCACTATCAGTTGATTTTCACAAGTGTATTTTCCTTTGATGCCTATTCTAGCAGATGCTAAGTGGACAAAGGATCTTGGTCCCATTTTAGCAAAGTAGAACAAGTGTTGCAGGGGAGGGAAATGTGAGGCAAATGGTGCTGAAATTTGGGAAACCGTTTTCTTTATCTGAAAGCATTTGAAGGTTCCAGTCTGCTTTTACATCTCCTTCCCTGGGTCCAACAGAAAATGCTGCTGCAAATTAGCTTCTGTAATTTAAAAATGTATAATGTAGTGGTGAGTGGTGGAAGTGAGTCCCATTTTTTGGTGACTTTTCAAAGAGGTCATAAAACAAGTAGTCAGTACTTTGTTTTCTTGCATCTTGTTTCTTGTTTCACCATGTGGGGGACAGGGAGGGAGACACTACAGTGAGAGTAGTATCTGTGTTCTGAGTTCTCATTTGATTTCTGATTATGTATGGGTAGGGAAATGCAAAAATTTGTTCTGTTTCATGCACAAAAAGCCCCACCAAAATACCTTTGGGCACCACAGCTTGATTGTAGCTGTGTGGAGCTCAGCATGCTTCACCCCTCAAAAGTTGGGAATTTCAGCGAACAGGTGGGATTAAAAATGAAAGTAAACTCTTAATCTCTCCCTAATTAATGTCAAAGATAATCTGGCACTTGGCTGAATGTTATGTGCAATTCTTAAACACACTAATTGACAGTCTGAGCCCTGCTGCTGAAGTGGAAGTAAAGCACATAGTGCTCACACCTATGTGTCCTGCTGCTGCAGAGTCACCTGCTCAGGTGAGCAGTGCTCACCTCAGACATCAGGACAAGTTCTTCTCTTTTTGGAGGAGATGGTGGTGAGCAGCCTGCAGCTTACCTTATTTCTTACCTTATTTCTTTTCCTCAGGCTGGCACTGTCTTTCCTTTACAGGCTAAGCCTGTCCTAACCCATGCATGGCTGAAATAATTTGTGTTTGCTTTTTCCTCCCTCAGGGTATTTGAACATCCAGTCGTGGCCTGAGAACATGACAGACTTCAGGGTGTTTTCTAACTTGGTTACCATTGGTGGGAGAGCTCTCTATAGGTAAGGAGCTTGTCTGTTGGTGGAATAATTTTTTATTAGTGTCCTGTGATTCTTTGTTCAGTTACAGAAAATGCAACATCCTTTGGGAAGGACATTGTAAATTGATATATTTTTTCCCTCTGTTACCAAGGTGTTCATTGCCAGTATCTTTGCTAATCAGTTGTTTATAATGGGTAATACCTTCTCCACATAATTATTTATAAAAAAACGTCTTGGTTCACAGCTGTAGCTATTACCTTCTTGTCTGGAACTTACATTTATGGTTTAAAATACCTTGTGAAGAAGCATAGTGTCAAAGGAATGAATAATAGAACTTAGCCTCATTATTAGGAGTTTATATGGCTGTGATTAGACATGCAGGCTTATATGACCAAACAACAGAGTGGTTTTAAGAAGAGGTAAAAGGTGGAAGAACATTGAAATCATTGAGGCACGTTGCAGATGCCCTGGATCCCCACTTTAGAGATGGAGTAAATCAGGCATGGGATTCTGCTGGCATCTTAAACAGCAACCTGAGCAGAATATGAATAGCAGTGAAACCTTGGGGTTGAATTACAGCCTCACATTCTGTTCCAAGGCAGCAATTTTTATTTGGAACAGCTGGAAAACAATTATCATCATTAAAATACAATAACTTAAAGGATGCCCAGAAACTGGATATTGTCTTCACTAATCTTCAGTCATAAAATATGTGCAGTCATTTTCATGTTGTGCAGACAATCATTTACTGTTCCTTTGATGAAGAAAGGCGATAACCAGGTATTACAACCAAAGAAAAATGAAATGTAGAAAGTGGGCTGAAAAAAAAAAAAATCCAAGAAAATAACAATTTCTTCCTGTATTACTTGAAATGATGTTAATTTGATGCCTGAAAGAAGATGTTTTAATACATTTTACATTATTTTTCTCCTTAGCATATAAACTAACACAGTATTAATGCTGTTGAAAGAAAAAACCTGAATTTTATTCAGTTTTCCTAACAGCACATTATCTCAAAAAAATCTCTTAATGGATGAAATGAAACTGGTTGAGTTCTGCTGGCTTACTTGGCCTAGTGCTATGAGCATCACAGCTTGTGGTATCTCACTCCTGACAGGACTTATAATTTCCTGGGCAATAGAGCTGGAGGTTGACTCATAAAATAACTACATCACCACAAAATAAAAGTTTTCTGAACAATTCTCAGTTTTTCCAGAAAGATCATGTTAACTCTTGGTAGTTTCCTACCAGATATAATAAGCTGTGCCTTCTGAAGCTAATTCCTACTCTCTCTCACTTTTGTTCTCATCCCAGTGGCCTTTCCTTGCTCATCCTGAAGCAACAAGGCATCACTTCCCTGCAGTTCCAGTCCTTGAAGCAAATCAGTGCTGGCAACATCTACATCACAGACAACAGCAATCTGTGCTACTACCACACTGTCAACTGGACCAGCCTCTTCAGCACCCCCAGCCAAAAGACAGTGATCCACAGGAACAAAAGGGCAGAGAACTGCAGTGAGTACCTGCTGGGGCTTGGGGGGCTCCGTGGACATCAGGGGAACTGGGATCATTTACAGCATCCCAGGGCTTTGAGCAGGAAAATGAAATGGTTTAAGGAACAAAGGAAAGGGAGCAGGGAGAGCAAGCTGCTTCCTCAACCAGTTTCACAAGTAGGAATTCTGAAGGCTGTGAATGGAATGTTCATGACTCTACAGCCCTTTTTCCTTATGGAGTGGGATTGGCAGCTTCTGTTCCCCCCAGCCTAAATGGCCCTATCTTAATGCAGAACTGTGTTTTTTGGGACTGTTTTAGATCATCAAGTTCTCTCTTTTCATATTTGACCTATCTGATAAAAAATACTACTTCAGGAAAGCTTACATGCCAGTACCTAGGCTGAGATCATCGTACTGAAAAGCCAAAAAAGCTCTGTAGCAGATAAAATAACTTGTTTATATAGAAATCAGGCAGCAAATTGCATCAATACAGGCATATTGTAGCAGCAAGGCAGTTCATTTTAAGCATCTGTTAGACTGCTTGCAGGAGAGGAGATTCATTAAATTGCTGTATGTTTAAGTGATATTGCTGATGTTTGTGCTCTGATCAGCCAAAAATGTTTGCTTTGGGTTTTTTCAAGCTGTGGTCCTATTTTTGACTTGCACTTTCATTCTTTCTGTTGGTTTGAGGGGGGTTTTTTTGTTTGAGTTTTACTTGAGGGATTTTGTGGGTTTTTTTCCCCTCTCCTCTCCCTTTGAAGTGCTGTTGTTCTCTATTCTGAGAGAGTGAATGGCTGTGCTCATTTCTGTAGTGTAAGTGTACCTTCAGTGTTAGGTGAAATACAGCTGGAGCTTTGTCTCTGCTGCTCAGTTTTCTATTCTCTCCTACCATGGAGGAGCCACAGGGAGTATGAGGTCTTGTTTGGTCAATCACCACATGGTTTTGGTTGTGTGGCATTTTAATTGGTATTAATTTTATTAGGCTTATTTCTTTACATGCAAGTTTAAAAAGTGAAGGTTAAGAAAATGCTGCTTGCTGTCACTGCAGGAAGTTTTTACTGTGATTGTGCCCGAGGCTGTAGGGCTTTCCTTCTGCCCCTACATAGAAAGGCAGCTATAAAAACAGAGTATTTATTGGAAAATAGAGGTGCTGCCAAGAAGGATGCTGTCCCCTGCAGTGTGACAGGATCATGTGGTAAGGAACCACCTAGTTCTTCCCTAGTGCTCCAGTAACAACTGTATTTTGTATGGCATGAAGAAGGATTAGCCCTTTTGAGATTTCCCACATGGAACTCTTGGGCTGACACAACAGAAGGAGGAAGAAAATCAAGGTTCTGTTGACCATGAAAGAGTCACTAAGGTTGTATTCCCAGATCCAAGTTGGTCCCATCTTGCCAGGAGATACATGAACTTGTGAACCTTCTAGAGAGCACAGGTTTCCTCTCTACCAGATGAAAAACTGGGAGAAAAGTCACACTCTTGGTGCTCTGATGTTTTCTTGCATCAGACTGGCCCTACCTGTCTGATTATCATGCAGCATTTAATGAAAGAACAATCAACTTTCCTTCTTTCCTAGGAATTTAATATAAAAAGAAACTAAGCAGTAACAAGGTGGAGCACAGGCTTGATGTCTCATACAGTAATGACTCCTCTTTGCTTCAAGCTTTCTGTAACCTCCCACAATGGGAAATCACTCAGGTGAATTTTGTAAGGTGCTTTTTCCCTTCATGGTGCAGTGTCCCAGTTGTTTCACTGGTTTTGAGAGCTTTGGGACACAGCTGAACACAGCAGCTTGGAACATAATCTTGCATTAGTTGTCAGGGCTCCTTTTTCAAACACTTCTTTGTCCTTTCCTGGGATCACTCAGCTTGAGTCCCTTTGAAGCTGCCACAGCTACTGAAACATGGGCTTCCAGAGCAAATGGGAACTGGGATGTGCTGTCACATCATCCTCTCACATGGAATGTCTTGTCACTACATCTGCACACAAAGGGAAAATGCAAACTTTATTTCACCTCTAGCTAGGTAAGGATTTATTATACTAGACACTTACTATTTTTCAGGAAGAGAAATACTCCTAAAATCATTTTAGGAGATTTAACAGTGTGGGAATCTTAAAGTGGAAAACTATTTTTCCCCCTTTCTACCCAGTTATTGTTAATGGCTTAAAGGGAATTACAGCAAACTTTTTATATCATTGTGTAGCTTTTCTGAAAACTCATGTAAGACCTCCCAAGGTCTTCTAGCCACCATTGTATTTAAGTGACTTTTATGACCTGTCACAAGGTGATGATATCTCCTCCACACCATTTAATGCTGTAATTCCCTTTAGCTGACTCTTAGCTGACTCTACATCAGTGAGGAAATACTGAGAAGTTGCAGGGGGAGAAAAATTTTTGTGGAAAAGTTTGGTCTATGTTAATGCTTCATCTCTGAGATAACACTGGCATGACAGAGTTTGGGAAAACTCTGACTTTTATTTTTTTTTTTGCAATGAAGAAGACAAAGACAACATGCCTCAGCCAGTGGAAAATGCTGCAGCATTTTCCAGCATGCAAAATATACTTTATATTCCTCATCCCCTCAATTATTTCATCTTTACACCACTTCTTAGCAATGTTAAGGTAGTCCCCAAATCTTTCACTGCCTCCAAGATGGAGGGGTTTTTTTAATAGGTTAAAAACCTAGGCAAACTTCTGGTTTTTTGTAGACTACTGAAAATACAGGAGCAAAATATATGTGTATGTTTTTAATTTAGAAAATGAAATGAAATCCACAAACCCTGAGGATGCTGTAGTGCTTTGTGTTGCCAGGGCCAGAAAGGGGGTGTCCATGGAAGGAATGTGACCTCTCCCTTCTCCACTTCCCTACACAGTTTCATTGATAGAATTCTCAGGGTCCAAGCTCTTGTGCACAGGGAATGGAATAAAATCATCAAGGATAGGGTAGGTAGATTTGACTTTTGCTCCATGTTGAAGTGAAAAATCTGCCTTTTTTTTCCAGATTTTTTTTTTTTTTATGGGACAGTCAGAGGTGACTTGTGAAATATGTCACAAAATACACACAAAATAAATATAGAAAAATAAAAATGTTCAATTGTCCAAACCATTCTCTCAGCTTTAGTGACACCTGCAGTGTAAGGTGAAACCCTTCTAGGCAAAGTTTGTTACAGATGTGATCATTATGAATTATATCAATCTAGCCACCAATTAACAACTTGAATAAATGATTACATTCATTATTGGGCATGATGTAAAGCTAATTGAAGTCTGCAGGAGTTTTTCTATTCAGTTCATGGAGCTTTGGATCAGGCCCAGAAGCATATAGCCAAATAAAAAGAATTTTTATTTTTTTTTAGTAGCTAATTTTCTTGTGTTCTATTTAAGTTAGGGAAAAACATTGAACCTTTCTGCTTCTAACCTGTGTGCCCCCATTAATAAAGAATGAGCCCTTCTTCTAAAACTCCTGACAAAACCCAGTTCCTGTCAAGAACATTGTTGTTATTTCCTTCCACAAGAGGCCATGTGATGTGTTGGAGCTGCAGAACGTGCTCAGACCATGGAAATGCCAAAAAATGTGTCAAAAATTGAAATGTTTCTTTAGCCATCCCCACAATTAAAGAAGGGGAGAAAAATGAGTTTTTTAAGTTGTCAAAACAACTACTCCCTCCTTGCCAAGATTCTTTTATGGAAATGTTTCAGGAGGAAATCATAATTTTTTTATTTCTGTTGCTTTTTTCATAAGAATATGGGGACTGTGTTGGCTACATTTCAATGGGGTAACCACAGTTTTCTTTATTGAAAAGCTCTCCTTTTATTTGTATACAGTTACTCACTGTATTTTCTGAGCTATCTTGTAATAATATCCCTTGTTATTTTTACAGACATTTTAGATATTTAGGTTTTTATTTAGATATTTATTTATTTAGATATTTTAGATATTTACCTGTCCGTGCAAATAAATTCTGATCCCAGACTAGTTTGAAGGAAAGGAAAAAGAAAATTTTAAAAGAAAGGAAATTACTCATAGTAAATAACAGGGAACTGCCTTTTTGTGATGAGTGTGGAAAACAAAGCCAAAAGAGCTAGCAATATTCTTAAAATTAAAAATGAGAAAAGGAGGGATCTCCAAACCAGGTTGTTTTCCTTTGTCCAGTGACAAAGATTTAAAATGAGTCACTGAGTTGAAAACAAAAACCATATGAAACTATATAAAAGTTTGATTAATTGTGACTAAGGTAGTTTCTGGGTTTGTGGGTTTTGGTTTTGTTTTTACTTGCAGGTTCAGACAGCATAGTGGAACACTTGATAATTATTATAAAAATATATTATAAAATAATTATTATAAAAAATATTACTGTGCTTGAAAGAAATTCAGCGTAGGACAGGAATGAGAAGCTGAATTTTGTGTCTCTGCTCATGCTGGCTGTGCTGCTCTGGCTCATTTGGCTGCAGCAGCAGAGCTCAGGGAAGGAGGACAAGGCATCTCTCTGAAATGGCCTTGCTGTGCTGGAATTTGTGCTCATTAATAACACCTTAAAGCAAACTGAGCACCTGGAATGACTCCTAAATGAAATCATTTTTTATTTCATTAAAAATATATTTCATATACGTGATACAGAAAGAATAAAAACTAAATCCCAGCCTTGATAAAACATTATTCAGGCTTCTTGTGCCTGAGGTTATTTGTGGTGTATGGAATAGGATGGTGTTGGAGAGGGTGGTAGAACTCAACCATCACCCCTCCTTTTCATTTATTATTCCTCTTAAGTTGTTTCTGGTGACTTAAAAAGTAAACAAATATCTGTATTGTTGCCATCTCTGATATTTCAGGTCCTTTCTGGGTTTAATTTACTCAGTGCTCTGTGTAATCCATTTGTGTAAATCATTGCATTGTGCAAAAATAAGTTCAAATTCATTCTGTCCTTTCACATGCCAGGGTTAGCCTGAAAGTGCACCCAGATTTTCTTCAGATGCTGGAGAGAGAATTCCCAGTTTCCTTCTGCTCTTTGCTCATTTTCTTTGTCACATCATTTCCATATTTACATGGAGAATGATTTCTATAAAATAAAAAGACAGACTTACACTGTTTGAAACAAACTTTCCCTCTAAGCCTCAGCTCATTGTGTATTTTGGTGTGGGCTTGAGGGTTTTAAAAGAAAGGTTCTTTGGCTCTTCAGGTGCTTTTGCACCTGAATAATATAAATAAATATTTTAAAATCACAATTAATTGTGTCTTTCCTACGTTTTTTTCCCCACTGTCCATAAGTTTTATTTCAGGGACTCCTCAATTCACAGGGAGCATTTTATATTTTAGTTTAATAGAACTTTAGTGCATTCAGACAATGGATTTTTTTTTTTTAATCCTTTAAATCTTCGGTATTTACCATGTCCTGTGTCAGGGAATTCTACAGGTTGATCTTTACTCTCTATGAAGAAAAATCTCAGATTTTAACCCTATTGGATTCCTGTCTCTTTGAATGCCCACAAGGGACTCGGAGAAAGCAGTGAACAATTTCTTCATGCTTCCTCACCTCCTCCTTGCCATTCAGGATTTTAGAAGTTTTAATCATGTCCTTTCTCCCCCACCTCTGAGACTGCTTCTCTGATTATTCCTGCTTTAGAAGCTCTTCTCTTAAACCTTTTTATCCTGAAAGGAGCAGTCCAGGAGTGTGTGTGATATCCCAGCTCTGTGTGTTTGTGTTGCGGCACGATGATGACTTTATGTTTTTATTCCATCCTGGAGAACAGGGACACTCCAGTTGTGTTTCCCAGCGTGTCAGAATGTTTTCCCTTGGGTTTTTGGGGCTGTGTGTGTTCCTGACAGCAGCCCTGTCTCTGCAGCTGCTGATGGGATGGTGTGCAATGAGCTGTGCTCCAGTGACGGCTGCTGGGGCCCGGGGCCGGACCAGTGCCTGTCCTGCAAGCGCTTCATCAGGGGCAGGACCTGCATCGACTCCTGCAACCTCTACGATGGGTAAGACACTCCCCTTGGGCTTTCCCCCAAAGCTGCTCACTAACATTGCTGAGGACTTCAGTGAACGAGTCAGTTTTGGGTTTGCGTTGTTCAGTGTCTGGCTCCATCGCCGATATTACTGATTTTGGGGGAAAAGCGTCATGGACTAAGATTTATAAATGTGAACTTGTGGAGAAAGCTTTCTCTGGTATTCTGCTGCCTTCTGCATCATCACTTTGTGCTCTTTGTGTTGCTGGTAACGTGAACAATTTGTTTTAGGTGAAAAGTTATAAAAAACCTGTCGCTAGTGGACACGAAGTATGAAGCGAGGGTTCGAATCACAGCAGCTGAGGTTTTATTTTCTCAGGAGGCAAGAACCCTTATTTTGGGGTTTTCAACCCTTTTTATAAAGTGTTCCACTACAGGTTAACCTGATTGGTACCAGGAACAGCACCTCTCTCATCCCAATGGTGGGACAAGAGAAAAACACTCTTAGAACATCTATGTAACACTGTTTTGAAAAGGAAAAATCTTATTTACACAACAGTCCCTGTGAGAGAAAAGTTTCCCAAAAGACTTTCCCTTGAGAGACTAATCAGCCACTGAGAGCATGAAACTCTCTCAGGTTCAGAAAATCATGTCCACAAAAGCCCTCATCATTTATCCCTGCTTGATACCCTTATTCAGAACCATACAATTATATTCTTTCAGATGAGTTGGATTCAGGAATTTGATAAAGAAATTCTCTGAATAAGGAGCCCAAAGTAGAAAAGCTCACTCTCTTTTGTATAATGCACTGTGTAATGGTAATATAAATAAATACAAATACAAATATATAGACATATAAATATATCTATATATAAATCTAAATATATAAAAATATATTTATATATGTCTATATAAATATATAGACATATAAATATATCTATATATAAATATAAATAGATATAAATATATAAACATATACAAATATATAAATATGTACATATATAACATATATAAATATAAAAAATTAAAATAATCATTATATATTTTAAAATAAATATTAGATAAATATATAAATAATAAATATGAAATAATATATAATTATATATAAATATATAGAATGTATAATATATATTATCTATTCTATTGTATATAAATATATAAATTATATATAAATATAAAAAAATTATATATAAATATATAAATAAATACAAATAGAAATTTAAACACCCAACAGGAGCTCTTGCCCCTTTTCCTTTTGCTGCTTATACTGGGGGAATACCCCCAGAGCAGAAAGTGTTTGAATCTGCCTTTTGGCAGAAAGATAAAGCTCAACTGAGCCAAATGAACTCCCAAACATGCATGAAAACCTTCTCAACTCTTCCATCTGGAGAAGGCTTGCAAAAAATAGTTTGTCAGAGCATAGTTTTATGTGCTTAAGAGCTCCTGTTCTCCTCTCCTCCCCCTTCTCCCCCCAAAAGAAGCGTTGCAGACCCCAGTTGTGTTGTCAGTGCCCTGGAATAAGTTGGAATAAGTTGAAATAAGTTGGTCCCCCCTTGGTGTCTTTTGCTGCCATGTCAGAGTAAGAGCATGAAGAGACTCAACCAGAATGTTCTGTTCTGTTCTCTAACTATCAGTGAGTGGCATTTACACTTTCCACAGGCTCAGTTCTGTCCTAAATACGTGAAAATAGCTGTAACCTGTGGACTAGGGAAGAACTTTTTATTTGTGGGACAGCTCTGCATGTTCATGCTGCAGGGCAGCAACAGATCTTCAGGGTGGGATCAAGCTGTATTTGACATCTCTTTTAGTCCTCAGCAGGAAAAAGGGCAGCAACAGATCTTCAGGGTGGGATCAAGCTGTATTTGACATCTCTTTTAGTCCTCAGCAGGAAAAACCCACTCCCAGAGCCAGGAAACAGATCTTCAGGGTGGGATCAAGCTGTATTTGACATCTCTTTTAGTCCTCAGCAGGAAAATCCCACTCCCAGAGCTCCCTTGCAGCACTTGAGTGAAGTTTTCCTCAGCTCTATCCTGATGCTCCCTTGCAGCACTTGAGTGAAGTTTTCCTCAGCTCTATCCTGATGTCCTCAGCTCAGTCCTGATGTCCTCAGCTCAATCCTGATGTCCTCAGCAGATCCTGATGGTTGTGAGGGGTAACTGGCAGCTGAAATGTTTGAAGGAAGAAATTCAACCTGCCATCACTACCCTTTTTCCCTCTTAAAAGGGATTAATAAAAAAAAGTCACTTGAGTGGTAGTTTCTTGTGGATACATGAAATAAATGAGTAAAAGGATCTGTTTTGACATGTTATGGATTAAGACCTCAGTCTAGAATTATTGCTGAAAACTTTATGAGCCTTCTGGAGAATGGGCTTTAAGGCATGTATTTATAGAGACCTACCTGCAACAGGGCAGCTCTGTCATCAGTGCCCACGTGTGACAAGTGGATTCCTGAATCTGAGCCACGAGTCACAACCCCATAGATTAAAATCAAGAAGTCAACAATTTTGTCCTGTTAATGAAGTCTGTGTTTCTAAATGAGAGGAAGGCCCCCACTATAGTTTTATATGGGTGAAGAAGGTGTCTCTGCTTCACGTGGCTGCTGTGGTCAATTCCAGCAGGTGAAGACTCAGCCAAGGGAGCTCAGTTTGGGGCTGGAGTCAGATTTCTCCTAACCTGCCTACAAACTATTTTCTCAGGGAATTCCGAGAATTCGCAAACGGTTCTGTCTGTGTGGAGTGTGATCCCCAGTGTGAAAAGATGGAGGAAAACATGATCACTTGCTACGGGCCGGTAAGAACAAAGCCTGATAACTCTTCTCAGCTTTTGGTTTCTTTTGTTTGTCAGGGTTCAGGGTAACTTGTGAAAGTGTGCTGAAGGACAGGGCTTTCCTGCTCATAGACTTTACAGCAGGTACTGCAAATTAGTGAAACAAAAGCAGAAAACACACATATTCTGCCTGTAGGGAAGGAATTCTGCTGGTGCTAAGTTGGTGTTGGGAATAAACTGCCTTAGGTCTGCCTCCTTAAGAAAGCAATTTTGAAAATTTTCCTTTTCTTTCTTGAGTTGTCTTAATGCTTTAGTGGTGCAGATGCACACAATTTTTTACAGACAGAAAGCATGCAGTTGTGATTTGAGCACTCTTTTTTATTCCTGTTTTCATTATTTATACTCAGTTCTGTCCTGGGTTCCCTCCCAAAAAAAAAGTGGGGGAATTTGTCTCAGTCTCTCAGTTTGAACAATATGCTGGGAGGTTTTTTGTACTTAGATAGCCTTTAGGTTCTTTTGATAGATAACATTTTTCATTCATCCTAAATGATGGTTAACTCCTTCTCACCTTTATAATGGCCAGTAACTTTTCTTTCAAAGGTTATTGCTCATTTGGGAGATAGAAGTTGTCTCTTTCTTCTAGTCTTCTGTGTATTGCCAAGATTAAAAGTCACAAGTATTCTGGAAATGAGGAGTTGTATTTTAGGCTCTTCATAATCGAGAAAAATAAAACCCATAATTTATTTCTTTATTTCTATGACTTAAAATGAAGGCATCATAACTTTTCTTACAGTACTGTGTTTTTCTGCAATACAGCCATAAGGCAAGAAGCCAATGTTTCAAGTGTTCAGCTCATCAGGGAAATTTGGATTTGTAGCAGGGCTTGTGGACATAAAATCCTAGGCCAATTCTCAACCTGAAAACCAGATTTAGTTATACAGTAGCTTATCATCACAGCTTTAAAATTTTGCTTCCACATTGACCAGGAGTCTTGGCTTTTTGTCCTTAACAATTTGGTCTTCATATGTATTAAGAAGAAGGAGACCTTGTAGTCCTTCAGCCTTGACCAGATGCCATGTGCAGAATGCTTGTGGAGTGCAGAAGCAGGAAATGCCACTGAAGGGCTTTGCAAAGGTGGTTCAGTACTGAATAATGTAGCTTTAAAGTGGGCACTGGCTTCATTGTATTAAGCACACCAATAATATCAAGAAGCTCATCTAGAGGCTGGTATTTAGTCCTGCACTCTACAGAAGAAGTTGATGGCCAAAAGCAGCAGGATTTATGTGTCTGCTGCTCCCTAGCAGAGGCTGGAACCACGCAGGTAATTTGCTGTTCCTCGGGAAGAGAAGCTGCTGCAGTTATTGCTGAGTGAGTGCCAATGCAATCCTAGCACAGCAGGAAAGGACAGAGTAACTTCAATGCACTGCATTTCTTCCTTCCACGCTCTCCAGGGTCCTGACCACTGCACAAAGTGTTTCCATTTTAAGGATGGTCCAAATTGTGTGGAAAAATGTCCTGATGGCTTGCAGGGGGCCAACAGCTTCATTTTCAAGTACGCCGACGAGGATCGGGAGTGCCACCCGTGTCACCCAAACTGCACCCAGGGGTGAGTGCAAGCTCTGGGCAGGGAGCCATCCTGTCCATCTACTGCTTGTAGCACAGGGTGCTTTATATATATATATATATATATATATATTTTATATCTAGGTGGTTTGGCTTAGTAAAGCACTTGTCCCACTCCTGAAAAGTGAGAGTGCAGCAGGAATTTAACCTTTGATTTTCAGGTCTCTCATGGCGTTCAGGTTTTAGTCATGAACGCCCAACAACTTATCACAAAAAAAACCCTTTTGAAGACCACAGAGATGAACTTTGCACAGCAATGCTCTCAGCTTTCCTTCTACACTGGTTTGTAGCAAATGCTGCCCTTTCACCTATTTTTAGACCTGTAAAATGATTTTATTTTTAGTATTTGCTCCTTGAAAGAATCTCTGCTACTTGGTATTGGTGAACTCAGCCTGCAGCAGTACTGTGAGACAAAAGTGTTACTGCTCTCCTTCTCCTACAGGGACTGATACACACAGTTTGAAACCAGACTTTGTACAGGAGCCTGAGACTGAGCATCCATTTCTGGAGTCCTGTCAAAGTGCCCAGAATAATTTGTTACACTTGGAATAATGCAGCCCATGGATCTGAGCCAGAATTAACCACCTGTGCCACACAACAACAATAGTCACACACACACACACCTATAGTTTTGCACAGGCCATGTAAGTTATTACTGCCTTTTCCATGGGGCAATTCAGATTGTCCAGCGTGCAAAGAGAGGAGGAGGCAGCAATGGGAAAAAGAGAAAACATCAGCCAGTGAAATAATCCTTGACAAGAGGCTCTTATTGTTTAGCAGCTAAAATTAAACCAGTAAATTATTCAATGTAATCTTGATGTCAACAGCTGTTGCCATTCAAAATGAGACCTTTTGCTGGTTTTGCAAATCTAATTACAATAGAGCCATTAGGGAAATGAGAGGGAGATCACAGAAACACAGCCAGGATCTGTTACAGATTTGTCTCCCCTCCAGCCTCTTTAAATCAGTTATGCAATAAGAAAAATAAGAAAAGGGTAAGAAGATAAGATATTAAAAGATGAGCTCACTCTAGAAGCTCTGGTCCTGGCTTTCATAGGTGGAGAAGGTGCCAGTGCTGATTTAATCTGACAAGACCACAGATGTGTGATGGATTTACTGTCTGCCCAGCATAGGAAGTGCCTTGCAGCTCCCCTGGCTTCCAGGGAGCAACACTTCTTCCCATTCCCTCCTCCTTCCTGAGGAGTTCTAACTGACCCAGTTATTTCCAGTGTTTGTGGCCCAACTGCGTTTCTCCTAGACCAGGAAGGGAGCAGAAGGTTCTCCATGCCTTCCCACTTCTCCACAGGCACTCGTATTTTGCAAGTGGTTGTTTATTTTTATCTGCCTGGATGGAGCAGGGAAGTGTTTATGTCTTGTGCTGAAAATGTGTCGTTCTAGCTCACAGACAAACATGAAGGGCACTGGGCAGTTCTAGCTGACCTTGGCAGTATTCTCTGGCAGCTGTTGCTGACACAGGGCTCCCTTATGGTGAGTGATGTTGTCCTTTTAATCCTTGGACTTCCAGTTTCCCCTCTTTTCTATTTTCTCCTCCTGATTAGGTGAAAGAATATCCCACTGCGTTCCCATCCCCAGAGAAAGGACAAGTAAAAGGACCAAAGGTCTCTCCTCCAGTAACATATACAAGGTGTGATTATCTCCCAGATGAGGACTTATCTCTTTCCCATGACACTAATACTATTCCCTGTGGAAATCTTTGCCCTCTTATTAAAGAGCTGATGTGTCTATTCTTAGGTATTTTTTTTATCCCTTAGAAAAACAGTGCTCTCTTCCCCCCAGCAATGGGTAAGCATAGCATCCTATTCTCTTTTTAGTGCTCCTGGAGGCTTTGTGGCATGTGATTATGTTAATGAAGCTATTAATGACTGTCCAAGATGTCTGGGGTTTGCAGGTTGTCCATCTTCTTGCCAGCATTGTCAGGAGCTGAATCTGCCCACAGAGAGACAGGAAACCAGTTACTATCTCCTTCCCTCCTTCAAGGCTGAATTCTCTAGTTTCACACCCTTCCTTTGGAAAGTAGCATTTAAATTCCCCTCAGTCATGATTCTTCACTGAAATAAATAGGTTGTGGAGAGAACACAGCTTGCTGTTTGGCTCATGGCTGAAAGGTAGAGAGAAAACGTGGTTCTGCTTCATCCCGCACATCTGTTCTCCTGGCTGCCAGATCAAGTGCTGGAATAAAAGCAGTGCCCTCTCAGTACAGCTGGAATACCCATCAAAAAGGGTTGAGCTGCTGCAGAGCAATGCTTCCCAGTATGGTATTATCTCATTCCTGCAGTGCTGCTCTCTATGAGTCAGGCTGCTTGATAAAACAGATTATTAGTTCTCACATGATGCTTCCACTCATCCCCCCCAGTTGTCACCAAGGAAGGATCTGTCCCACCTCTGTTTCCTGTGTTTTGCCACAAATTCCATCTCAGCATTTGCAGAGGACTGCTTTAGTGAGTCCATTCTCCTTCCTCATTCAAGTGTAAGGACTGTTTCTCTAAATAAGCGTTTAATTATCCAGCCCTGTTAATGATCTTGCATTGACCAGAAGAACTGTCAAACAGTGACTTCCTTGGGTGCAACAACTGTGCTCCTTGCATCCCTGGGATAAGTATCAGCTACTTGAAGCCAGTTTGGAGCAGATCTGAGGCATGTGGGACAGCTATCCCACTTAATTCAAGAGAGTTTGGCACCTCTCCTTGCAGAGCTGGCCAAAACTCAGCACTTCCAAAGGAATAAAATACTAATTACACAATAGCAAGTGACAGCCTGCATCCTTGCTGGGCAGGACACAAATGGGAGATCTCACTGGACACCTCCTCTCTTCCTACAAACGTGTTTTGTCCCACAGCTTTTTGAAGGGAGGGCATCACTCCTCACCAAAATGCACTTTTCCTTCCAAGCCATGACCAGAGAAGTCAGGGGAGCTCCAGCAAGAGTGTGTGGCCCTGAAGGGATCTGAGGGCAGAAACAGCTTGTTACCTCTAAATCTTAGGTGTATTTTGAGGAAGAAAGTTTGAATTCCAGGTGAAAGAATATTGCAAACACACTCTGGATAAGAAAAACCTGTTCTTTTGTTCTGCAAAATTTCCTCCTAGCCCCTGCTCCAGTTCAACTTTGTTCCTCTCACCATGAATTCATCTCACCTGTTATCTCAGCAGCCCTTGGGTAGGGTTGTCTGACTCTATCCATAACAATAGCTGGGTGACCACCTCAAAAAAGGTTTTCTCTTGCCCAGAGATAATCCACTTACACCACTGTAAAATCAGTTTTGTTTGTTTCCAGTGACCAAGATTTTTGAGAATTCATTTGGCAAGGAACAGCTTTTCTACCCCATATCTGAGCAGTTAAGACCCCACCATTCATTCTTAAAAAAAAGTGATAAATGACAATATTTCTGGGTTGTTTTTGGAAAAAAAAAAAAAAAAAAAGAAAGCTGTTGTTACTGCAATTTTCAAAACCCCACATTTCCTTTCAGAGGATAATTATCTGTTAAGCTAGGATGAGCTCCAAGTGTAATTTTCTGGATAAGCTGTATTGAACTTTTGTAAGGTACTAAATATATCATTAATAAATTGGCATGTATCAATTAACCAGTTCATTTTACAGAGCCAACTTGGAAAAGAGACTCTCATCCAGACTCCAAGCAGAAAGAACACTGGGTATGAACGGGGTTACCAGTGTGATGTATGATTGTGTCAGGCTTATAAGGGTCAAAAAGCCTGAAATGAAGGGAGTTCCTTCCTGGGGAAAAACCACCTGAAGATTTGGTGGTACAAAATACCCTGTTAATAAATATTGCCATGACTCACACGGTGCTGTACTTCCTTGCATGTAATCAGGGAGGAAACTGGGAACTGCTCAACCAGGAGTAATGGAATTGCACCTGGACAGAGTTTTCTCTCTGGGGAAGCCAAGTCCACTGAAGAAGATTGCAATTTGAAATAAAAATCAATGAGACTTCAACGTGCACTGGGTGAGGTCTGAAGAGTACAGGTTTGGACTCAATCCCGTTCTCTAAATGTCCATGGGAAGTGACTCCGAGACAACAGGCTCTTGATGTCAGCCTGCCACTGCTCTAAACTAGTAGCAGGCTCTCAGACTTCTAATTTGAAGATGCCCTTCTTTTTATTTATAGCAGGAGTCTGAGCTCAGCTTTTCTTGGAATGGAAGGAAATGGACAATCTGAGCGATTCTTCAGCCTTCTTCATTGCTGAGCTTGTTTTCTCCAAATTGCTGAGAATGCCATGAAAGGAAGAAACATTGGATGTATTTGAGACGGGTTAAAATTCAGACAGTCCTGAATTCCAAAGCCCTGATGCCCAGGACAGCTAAAATTCCAAAAGTTCTCTCTACCAAGTTTTTGAACTTTGTTTGAATCGACCCCTTACGTTTATGAATCATCTGGATATTTAACATATCTTTTTTATGTCTGCGCATATGCTGGAGGAAGCAATCATTGAGGAAATCCTTCCAGTTTGTGTTTGCATATCAGAGTAAATGTCTTATGTAAAAATAAAAATTCGAGTAAACAAACACAGGGTAAGGCTTACTTGGTCTGCTCTCCCCGATGAGCAGGTATGGGGAAATTGAATTCACCGACTTCATTTTATAATGGCAGAGTGATACCAATTTAAATGCAGCAAAGGCTGATGAGTGGCAAGTGATGGTGAAGCAGAAAGATCTCATGGGAGCTTATTTGAACTCTCAGATTTTTTTTAACATGCATATCCTTCCATCAAAGCCAATCTGAAAAACAGCAAACTTTAAAAGAGTTGGGGATCACACCTTAAATTTAAAATGCCTCAACAGAAGTGAGTTGCAGTCTACTGATGTGTCAGATCACCTCTTCTGCCTGTAGTAGATGTACAGCCAAAGGGTCTTTTAATAAAATGTCTCTGAGATCTTGTTAAAGAGTTGAAATAAATGGTTTGGTTTCCTTAAATGCCGAGGGCTAGATACTCCCCATGGCTAGCGTGCAGCACTGAAGGGGGTCAGGTTGTTTTAACCCTAAAAGCTCAGCTTTAGGTGTCTGAGAATCCTGACTGCTGTGTAAATGGATATTTGACTTGCTGTTTGAACACAGAGGACCAGGAAACCAGTCCTGCTCTTCATGGGAGCAAGGGAAATGCACACATGCCCATGTTCTGCAGACTCTTTTCCCTGGCTGTGTTTCAGTGGTGCTGTGCTTAGTGATTCCTTGCATTTCCAATGCCTTTGGTGAGCACCTGCTGATTGTGCAGGTGGAGGACTTTTGGCAGCACCTAAGGAAAGCAGAATAAAATGTCTGAATCAGCAGACACCATTTTGCTGTGGTTTTTGTTGCTGTAAGTTGATCCTTGAGCTTTTCCCTGTTAAAAAGTATACTCAGCGTCCAAAATATTTCTGCAGTTGCCCCGGCTGGGAGCTTAGAACAGAATGAACAATTGCATCAATTACAGAAAGAAAAGCAAGTTCTGGATTGTGCTCCTGGAAGTCTCAACTTGTAAATGAACAGCTTTTGTGCAGTAATCACTGGTTTGATGACTCATAAAAGCAGGCAGGGAAAGCAACTCTGTTGTCAGGACTCCCACGTACGCAGGTGAAACCTGCCTTAAGTGTTGTTTGAGCCAAGAAATGGCCTGCCTCAGAGTGCTGCTGCTATCATTGCTCCTCTCACCACAAGCTATAATTTTTTTGGTGTCATAGAGAGTGTCATATTTGGTGTCACAGGTCTCTCTTAGAGAGAGGGAAGAGGAGCCAGAATTAAGAACGCAAAGGGGATTCCCGCTCGTCGGGCGCGTAAATAACAGATGTCTCTCTTTCTCTCCCCGTTTCCACTTTGGATGTGCTGCAGGTGCATAGGGCCCCACCTGGAGGACTGCATTGGGCTGATGGATAGGTACTGGCTGGGTGCTGGCTGCCTGTGTGTCTCCATCCCTCACTCACGTGTGGACAAGGGCGCATGAGTGTGCATGTCCCGGGGCGCGGCAGTGACGCGGTTTGTTCTGTAATTGCCTGCAGGTGTAGAGGCCCCGCTAGTCATGACTGCATTTTCTATCCATGGACACGGCAGTCCACTCTGCCACAGCACGCTAGGTAACATCCCCACCCCATCCTTCATGTCCTTCCCACCACAGGAAAGTCATATTATCCACTTTGAGCCCAAACTGGGGAGAGCACAGCTTGTCCTTGAGGGAGGTCTGCCTCTCCACATCCAAATTTGCTGTTCTGTTTGAAAGCCAACTAAATTTTCTACTCATTTAGAATATACCTTTTTGAAATTGGCTTTATTTCTAGCTTAAACCAATAAAGATTAAATTTCTGAAATTTCCTGTAGACACTCATGTTTCCAGATTAAATTCTATTAGATGGTGAAAATTCTGGTAAAATTGGAATTCACTCGTTTTCTCTTTATTATTTTTTTTGTTTGTTTGCTTTTGGGTGTTTTTTTAATTGTTTTGTTTAAAACAGGATTTTAAATCAAACAAACGCCTTCCCTTGAAAAAGTAAATGTTTTGGCCAAACCAAATTTCTTCCTTAATTCACATAAAACTATTATTTGTTTTTTTTTCTTTTTCATTTTCTGTTTAAAAGAAAAATTCTAACCTTGCAGCACTTTTATTTCTCAGTAATGACAACTGAAACAAATTGATGTAGACTTTATTCTGCATTCTTTTTCATGAAAGTCCTACATTGCTATTGAATTTGTTCATTCTTAAACTCAAATTGGTTAATATGACTTCTAGGCTTTGGGATTACTCTCCTGAGTTAAGACTAGATGAAAAATGCATAAATTCAATCAAACTCACCTCATTAAAGATTTCAATCTGAGTTTTTTTCTTGTCCTTTTCAAAAGGTTTTAAGGTTGACTTTCCTTCCTAATTGTGTACATAATGTGAATATGTCTATGAGGGAGAACATCTTTGGACTTGAAAAACAGTGCATCATAAATACTATCAAATGGTACATTTATTTATTAAATCAGTATCAAGTCTGACTTAATTCATTAGCTAAAGAATAAGCAACAGAGGATGTATTTTTCAATATTTCAATGTTTTCTTTTAATCTTTCTGATCTGGGATATCCAGTTTTGGGATGCTTCTGTGGGGCCTCATTTTCAGATGGACTCATCCAAACAGAGCTGCCCCAGTTTTAAGGGTCCTAATTTCATCAACTTTACTCAAAGCACAACTACAGAACTATTATTATTATTATTATTATTATTATTATTATTATTATTATTATTATTATTATTATTATTTCCTAAAGTTTAAGGTTCTTACTAAACCTCAGAGTTGTTTCACTCTGTTCAGTGGTTTTACTCCTGCTCCATTCAGTCTGGCCTGCTCCATTCAGTCTGGGGGGGAAGGCCCTCAAATGTTTCTTGTTCCTTTTGGATCTGATGGATATTTTTTTGCTTGTTTCAGCCTTGCTGAATTTATTTTAGGAAAATTACTGCACTGTGTTTAAATGTCAGTATGTATTCTTTCACTTTCAATGCAAAGAAGGAAACTTCATACCTCCATATCAGATTTGTGAAATTGTGTTGTTGTTTTGGTTTCTTTTTTAATTTAATTGTGAAAATGATTTATTCTGTTTGGGCTGAAAATGGGCAAAACTGCAGTGGCAAAATGACACTTTTTGTTACAGTAGGGTTGTTACTCCAAAATGGATGTGTTTAACTTTAGACAGAACCTTCTTCATGTCCCTTTAACAATTGTGCACCCTCCTGAGACTTATAAATCTTAAATTAATTAATAATCAGTCTTACCCTTATCAATTGACTTTTTTTCCGTTGATGTGAATTATCAGCGAGTAGAAGGGGACAGGGTTTTCTGCTGTTCAGGCAGCTGAAAGTGAGAGTAGGGCTTTAACCCAAACAAGATATTCCTCATCTTCTCCTATTTCCATTTTCATAGCAGTGTTGCTTCTCTTTCCAGTTTTTTACTTTGCAAATTGTTTATGCCATGATCCATTGACTTGAGGGCTTTTGTAAGAGTCTGCTAGAATAGCAAAGGAATTCTTTGTGTCGTGTTTAATAAAGATGAATCAGACGTGCATCACATGGCTTGCTTTCCAAATGACTGGTGAAACTTCAGTTTTTCTGCTTATCTTTAGTCCTTCCAAGTTTGTGGGAAAACAACCTGACTTTTGGCAATGAGTTTCTTTCTGCATTGTTTGGTTTTGGCTTTTTTTTTAATCTTTAAGTTCAGTAGAGCTCTGTCCAAAAGAGCAGCTCCTCATGCAGCTTCGTGTATAGATTATTCCTGCAGGGCTTTAGTTGTGGTTCCACTTTCCATACCAGCCTTTCCTAGAAATTGCTGAAGCAAAGATGGAAAGCAGAAGAAGGCTGGAATTTCACAGAATGCCCAAAGGACTTATCCATCCTCCTTTCCTTCCTCTTATTACAATGCTACTCCTCCTCTTGCTGCTTTCTGGCAGTTGCATTCAGTGTTCCTTTGTGGTTGGAATAGCACACAATAGCACATTCCAGCATATTCTGCAACAATCAGCAAAAGGATGAGTGTGTCTGCTCCCAAATTGGGATTACTGTTGTCTGAAAGGATGATTCAAAAACTGTAAAAGTAATGCTCTGATGTTCATTAGGAAAATATCCTAGACAGTCAGGAAAGGCTGGTTCCTTTCAAGTTCACCAGGAAGGTTTGGCCAGTGCAGTTATTGGAGTGAGTCTGTGGACATAGTGTTTACCTAAAATATGAATTTTAATTGATTTATCCTTGCTAGGCTTCATTCACCTTAATGCTAGGAGAGATCATCAAAGAGGGAGTGGATGAAGTTTCTGTTTTCTGCTGTGTGTGAGATTGCCTGTCTAAAGATGTGATCAGGAACATATGTTGGATATGATAAGAAAGAACCAGCACCAGCACTGATGTTCCTGGTCTGAGTGAGCTGGTGTCTCTGTTTATGCCCCAAGAAAATTTCATTTACATTTCCCTTTTAACTAACAGAAACTAATTAGCCAGGCCCACTATTGTCAAGTGCTTAAATAGAATGTTGTGTAGATGTTAACTCCAATTACAACCCTATTTGCTAGCTTTGTATCCAAAAAGGATGTCCTCTCAACAAATCATCACTTCCTCAACAACAACAACAACAAAAAAAAGCTGGTTTTATCTACTGCCTATGTGTACAAGAGCTAATTAACAGTAAGCCCTGTGTAATGCAGGCAAATCCTTTCATAGCTATTTTGTACCCTGTCACAGTATGGCTTCAGCAGAATTTCACAGCAGCTCTCAGTAGTTGGTGGGGAAGGGAAACCACCTCTATTAAATTGCTTATGTTCATGGCTTTCACAGCTTCACTGCTTGGAGGAAAGCACTCCATATGCTCTCTGTTTTTATAGAATAATTATAGTTGTTCTGGAGGGGCAGAGGATCTCTGTATAAAATAAGAGGGAAAATGAGATCTGGGAGTACAGCTAAGCTATGTTACTTGGTTGGTAAAAGATGCTGCTCTCGAGGGACTCTTAATATGGAGCATTCTGAAGCTGCATCAGAACAGAGCAGCTGAAGAAACAGGTATACTCTTTAAGAATCCAGACAAGAAAAATAGGCAGTTTCAGATCCTTCCTCTGTGGGTTACATAGATCTTACACATCATGAAACAGGACAAATTCACAGACTCACAGAATGAGCTAGGTTGGAAACACCTTTGAGATCATCCATGACCTAACACCACCTTGCCAACGAGACCTTGGCACTGAGTGCCACGTCCAGTCTTTTCTTAAACACTTCTGGGGCTGGTCACTCTCCCTGGGCAGCCCATTCACCCTTTCTGTGAAGAACTTCTGCATGCCCAACCTAAACCTCCCCTGTGTCCTCTTGTCCCACTGCTGGTTCCAAGGACACTGACCCCCACCTGGCTACAACCTCCTGTCAGGTTGATGAAAGAGATTGATAGAGAAATCCCAGTTCTGTGGGAGAACTTGCCTCTACTGAACTGGTTCTGAAGCCAGACCTTTGCTGAGGATACTTTAATTCTTTCCATGGAGCTTTAGGAGGAGTACATTTGGAGTTCCCCTGTGACATGAATGAAAGTCACTGCAGTGATCTTGTGGCCTCCTGCATTTTTTTACCACTTCCACATTTTAAGACTGGTCTTCTTGTGAAAGGGTGTGGGTGGGTATTCCTTCTTTCTTTCCTGTTGTACAGATAGAGTCCTAGAATGGTTTTCATTGGAAAGGACCTTACAGCTCACCCAGTTCCAGCTCCCCCTTCCATAAACCAGGACACCTTCCACTATCCCAGGGTGCTCCAAACTCCATCCAACCTTGCCTTGAACTCTTCCAGGGATGGGGCAGCCACAGCTTCTCTGAGCAACCTGTGCCAGGACCTCACCACCCTCACAGGGAAGAATTTCTTCTCATATCTGTCCTCTGTCTTTCAGTTTGAGGTCTGACCACAGTTAATAAACCACTCATTGTGTTAAAGCTTCTGTTCTGACTGTGATCACTGAGGGTTTGTGCTTTACCTGCTTTGCTCAGCAGGTGTGGCTGGCATGGACTCATGGTATGGAAGGACTCATTGCTTCTAAATGCTGCTAAAAATTAGAAATAAATTTAAGTTTGGGAGAGTGAAAGAAGTGGAAGCAATTCTCACACAATGCTGTTTAAAATCTGTTCTGTGGCTGCAGTAGTCTGAGGATTCTGTTGAGAGAGCGTAGGATAGAGTAAGGTCAGAAATCTAGAAGTTTGTTATACAAGGAGTAGGATGTGAGCAATAAACTCTTGCAGGATCTTGATACTGTTGATACTCATTGACCAAGTTTTTCAGCAGCTGTGCTCATTTTTGGTGGAAAAATTCTTTGTTTGGAAAACTGACTAAATTATCTTTACTGAAACTATGAGCAGAAAAAATGATGAGTGATAAAGGCCAAGTGTGATAGGCCAGTGCTGGAAGAAAAGAAGCAATGGGAAATGCAAATTAATAAATGGTTTGTTAGAAATGGAAAGCAATACACAGTGCCATTGCAGAGGTCATTGCTTTTGTTCTTCATCACCCTTGGGTTGTGTGTATTGATTTGGCTACACAAATAATATACAGTGCAGAAATAAAATTGTGCCATGGAGAAGTAAC